ACCACTCTATCAATACTCACTCTACTCATGTCACACATCATGGACACATGCCAGACACTATCTTACCTTGGGACCTTTGCATATGATGTTTCCACCACCAGAAATACTTTTCCCCAGATATCAGCAAGGTCCTCTCCCTCACCTCCTTCAGAGCTTTACTCAAATATGACAGTCTCATCCATATCTAAAATCGCAACTATTCCACACCCTTTATACCTTCTTCTTTTCTGGCTCTATTCTTCATCATAATAATACTAAGCAGAATCATTTATCTCTAACAAGTATTTCACATTTATCTTTTTTTTTTAATGATCTGTCTCTCCAAACTAGAATGTAAGATCGCTGAAAGCAGAAACTTTTGTTTGTTCTATTTATTGCAGTATTTTCAGTGTTTCATCCAGGACCTGGCATATGGTAAGTGCTCAATAAACATTTGTTGAATGAATGAGCTAAAAAAAAAGAGTTTAAGTTACCTAAGGTCACACAATTAGAAACCACAGGACTTTGTGGGTTAGAACTGAAAAGTATGAGAGTATAGTAGTATATTTAGAGCACAAGTAAACATTTGAGCAAGATAAATAAGACCTTATCCAAGATCACTAGATCATTTGTTTACTCATGTGTACTAAGAATAAAGACTCTTTGGGACCAGCAGAATTACAGGAACAAAACAGTTGACTCACTTGATGTTACAAGGATAGAGGTTTCCCTGGCCACAGTCAATTAAGACACAAAACTATAGGTATAGCTTTAAAATTCCTGAAGGTATATAGTAGAAAGCAAAATAAAGGACAAAAATATCTTTAATTCTCTAGCTGTGCAGCAATCAAAACACATTTAGAAAGCATATAAAATTATAGCTAGATAGAAGGAATACATTCTAGTATTCTACATTACTTTTGAATGACTATAGTTAACAACAATAATATATTGTATATTTCAAATGGCTAGAAAGAGGTTATTGAATGTTCCGAACATAAAGAAATAATAAAAAATTCAGATGATAGATATGGTAATTACCCCGAATGAATCACTATACATTATCTGAATCAAAACATCACTATGTACTCCATAAATATGAACAAGTATTACATGTCAATATAATTTTTTAAAAAAGAAAAAAACCACAAGATATTCAATCAGTAACTCATTTATTTAAATGTTTGGAAAGCTACTGAAAATAAATCTGACTACACAAGCAAAATAAAGTAGGTGTCTAACATGTATTTAAGCCAGAAATTCCCAAGAATGAGTTTAAAAATGGTCATAAAAAGTTACTGAGAAAGTTTAAGAATGTAGGATTCTATTGTGAATAGAACTACAAAAAACATACGTGTGCAGGTATCTGTTTTTGTAGGATGATTTGAGTTTCTCCGGGTATATTCTGCCCATAGAAGCTGGACTGTATTAAAAAATGAAGTACATACATACAATGGAATATTATGCAGTCATAAAGAAGGACAAACATATGAACTTGGCAGCAACTTGGATGGATTTAGAACCAATCATATTCAGTGCTCTATCACAGAAACAAAGAACAGAGTACCATATGTTCTCACTCATAAGCAGACCTCTAACAATTATAATACTATAAGAAAGCAATTGGCAGTAGTGGGAAACTGTCGGGGTGGTCGCGGTGGGGGGGGATTGGCAGTTGAGAGAAACTGCTAGGGGAGGGAGGGACATACCTCATCAACAAGGGTACCTGCATAATCAACATTTGTATACCTAACCCTGAATTTTACTCCACAGCTTTATTTAAAAAAAAAAGAATGTAGGTTTGAGACCATCCTCAGATATTCTGATTTGGTAGATATATCTGCATTTTTAAGTGGGTAACCGAGGGAATTTTGATACAAGTAGTCCATAAACCACACATAGAGAATCCCTGCATCTGAAAATTATCTAAAAGAATTAAAGAAAAAGAATAAAACACAGTGTATTTTATTGTCTAATAAGTGACCAGATCTCCTTTGAGCATTACAACACAGTGAGGTAGTATTATATCTATTTATTTCATTTAGAAATGAAGAGATTGAGGTTCATGGAGATTAACTTGGCCCAAGAAAACCAGTCACCAGGTCATGAATCTGGATCTCTTAATTGCAAATTTTATATTCCTTCACAACACTCCTGTGTTAAAGGGACTTTGGTACACTGAATTAAAGTTGTTTGTGGTCATCTGATTTTAGTAAGTCAATGGAAATAAATTGCTGGTCTCATCAGAAAGATATTAATACAATTTAAAGAAAAATAAAGTTGAATTAGTGGGTTCACAATACTGAGAGATCTTTGGAGAGATCACTGCCTGACATTTGGCATCTAAGATTCTATACATTCCTACTACCCAAAGGTGGTTTGCATGCTCATAGGCATCACTTAAGAGCTTAGTATACTTATGAATCTTGGGCTTCACCTTTAGTCTGTGGATAAGAACTTACTTTTTAACAAGACCCCTGTGTCCTGTACCACATTTTGCAAGTTCTATGATTTTACAATAATGACTCAATTTTTCTGTATTTCACTTCTCTCAACTGTGAAATGAGAAAGCTGAATTAACTTATCTTTACCATTGTTGCAGGGCACACAGAAGTTGGCAAACTATGTCTTGTGGGTCAAACCAGTTCAGTAAGCTAAGAATTCTTTTTAGTTTTTTAACAGTTAAAGAAACATAATATTTGGTGTAATAAAATAAAGACCCTTTGGGGCCAGCAGTATTACAGAAATAAGATAGTTGACTCACTTGATATTACAAAGGTCTATGTTTCTTTGTTCATAGAGTCAGTTAAGAAGCAAAACCATACAAAATAAAATAAATTCAAATTTTAGTGTCTATAAATAAAGTTGTATTCGAACACATACATGCATATATTTGTTATGCATTGTCCACAGCCGCTTTCATATTATGATAGCAGAGTTGAATAGATGCAACAGACTGTATAGACCAGAAAACCTAAAGTAGTTACTATCAGGACATTTACAAAAGCATTTGTTGACTCTTTCGATAATAATAATAGCAATATCAAAAACTGCGATATAGGCAATTACTATAAGTCAGCAACTATACTAAGAACGAATGCACATATAATTTGAATATATGTATATGGCTATATAGCTATACTGTAAATTTGTATAAAGTGTGTTAGGCTATCTCTCCACTCCATTTTAGTGTCTTTGCACTTTTAAAAACATCAGATTAATCTCAGTTTTTCCAGAAGGATTTTCCTTTTTAGAAGGTGCATGTAGTCAATAATTTTCATGTTGACAAGTATAAAATATGTCCTCCTAGAGCTATATATCTCATCGTGAAAAAAGGTGAGTGTATAATTTGAATGAAATATAATTACATGAAACAAACTACTGAAAAGTCAACAAAATTTTTTAATCAAGTGTAGATTCTAGGAAAACAAAAAAATGCATGAGTCTGCACAGGGTAAAAATAATTGCGAGGATAAGTAAAAAAATTAATGTTCTTTTCTTTTTTGAGTCAGAATCTCACTCCATTGCCCAGGCTGGAGTGCAGAGACACGCTCATGGCCTCCCCAGTGCTGATCTGCTGGGCTCAGGCGATCCTTCCCCCTCAACCTTCCAAGTAGCTGGAACTACAGGTGTGCGCTACCACACCAGGCTGTTTTGATTTATTGTAGAGACAAGGTCTCACCATGTTGCCCAGGCTGGTCTCGAACCCGTGGGCTTAGCCAATTCTCTCACCTCAGACCCCCAAAATGCTGGAATTACAGGCTTGAGCCACCACATCCGGCCAATATTTAATTTTCTGTCTACTTTTGTTAATATCTAAATGTTCTGCTATTCTAGTTTAGTCATCATCTACAGAACTTAATCTATCAATGCAAACAGTCTAAACTTACTTAGCAATTAAGTCTGATTTTTTTCTATTGAAAATTTAGGCAACTGCCTAACTAGTAATAAAAACAATAATCTTAGAAAGTTTGCCAAATAAGTCTTCAGTATAAAATGTGATGTTAAAATGATTATAAACTGTTTTAAAATGACACATAAGATTAGGGACCTAGACTTCAAATCTTTGACTTTCAAATTAGGGTGCCACTATTATAAATTACATAAAATCTCTATCAAGAAAATTCCAAAGGAGTGAAATATAAATTATAAACTATATATTACTATGATTTAGATTCTGTACTTTCAAGAATTTATAGAATTTATGATTAGCTTAAGTATCCAATTGAAAACACAAAAAAGTTAACCACTAGTTAATATGTTAAAGTTATTCAACTATGCCTTCAATATGTTAATACACTTAAAACATAAATAAAATAATCTGCTTTCACAAAAAATATTCATCTTGAATTTTAATTTGCTATAGCCATAAAGTTGCACAAGTAGTTCTACTTATGAAGTAGAACAAGTAATTCTACTTTATTGCCATAAAGTAGCAAATGATACTACTAAAATTAGCAAACTTTATTACCATAAACTTAAGAGAATAAAGTTCTACCTTATTACCATCAACCAGTTTGAGTTTCCATTATGCTAAATAAGAACAAAAGTTGTAGCATATTGTTACTTTGTTTTGCAATTGATAATTTACTCATGCAAGAATTTTTTCTGAAAGGTAGAGCTAGTTGAACAAATTAAGTTGAAAAAATGCATTTTTATGTCATGATTTTTAAATAAGGAATTAATTTCTCAGTTACTGAACTACTCTCTCTTGAGCATTCCTATTTATTCCCTGTTTACTTTTTTTAAAAAAAAGCTTTCTTGCTACTAATTATCTGCATGCTAAATAAAATACAAAACATCAATTTATCAAACACCCACATACACATAACACACACATAAATACACATGTATGTATACATACAAGTTTTTTCATAGAAATCTGTTTGTTATAGTTATTACCCATAATCATGGCATATTTTATGATGTCATATTATTCTTTCTCCCAGAATACAGATTATACTGATTATTTTATATGCTATGCAATTTTTAAAAATAAATCAAATTATTAAGTATCTTACCAGTTCTTATCCAGCATACCAAACAAAAAAAAATGTATGCTCTCATTTGGAATCTGAGAAAAATAAAATAATCACTCAGATTTGCCAAATAGAAAATGTCATAACTTACTGAGGTTTCTCTCTGGTAGGATTGTCACAGGCTGGCAGGTTTTACCAAAAATTTAACTGGTTTTGCTCCTCCCTCTTTCAAAAAAAAAGTGAGGTAGTTTTTTTTCTCCCATGTGGCTTGTGGTTGTGGGAAGGATTTTTAAATCAAAGACTCTGTAGTAAGTCACAAACAAACCCTCAGCTACACAAGTTGAATTGAAGGGAATGAAAATGCTAATTATATCTCTTTGTTATTCATTTTAGCCTCAAGATTTCAGAAGTGGTCGGGAAGAATATGTTTGTAGAAAACCTAGAGCAAATGTGATGTTGAAAAATGCTAGAAATTAAAAGTCAGAAAAAAATGTGGTTTATGTTCATTTTGATTACAAACTAAATTGCCTTCATACACTGTAAATCAATAATTAAATCCATAGCCATTAAACTCTATCAAGTATAAAATATGAGTTTTTCACATTTATGTCATTTTACATACCAAAAGCAGAGCCTCTTTTAAAATTCAAAATATTGGCTTGACTCAAGGTTAAATTTTGAAAATAAAAACATTGTGTTTAAAATATGACAACTATTTAAAACTATTATAGGTTTTCTTTTTACATGTTTATTTACCCTCTTATTTTCCTGCCACCAATGGATTTCAGTAAGAAAGAAAAATTGAAAGTTATTCTAAGTACATAAATTACAAGTTCAAAAATTCAATTTGTTTTTAGAAAATTCAAGTCCCTGTAAAGTTCCAAAGATACAGTAAGAACAGAAGTGTTTGACATAAATCATAAATCAACAAAACAATCTGAGGCATGGGGAGGTATTGCAAAAGATTAAAAACAAGATAAAGTATTAATTCAAAAAAATCATGAAAACGTAACTGTTGATGAAACTCCATTATTGCCTTCCTTTTTGTTAAGTTGATATTTTTGGATTAGCATGTTTTGATTCCATTCTCTATTTTCTGTATTTTCTTTTTTATATATTCTATAGATATTTTCTTTGCGATTACCATAAGGATTAAAAATAACCACCAAAAATTATAGCAATTTGTCTTATTTTGATACCAACTTAACTCCAATAACATAAAAATACTCTACTCATTTCAGTTCCGCTCTCTTCTACTTTGTTACTGATGACACAGATTACATTTTTATATATTGTGCACCCATTAATATAGATTTATAATTATTTTAATACATTTGTCTTTAAAATCCTGTAGAATATAGAAGGTGAAGTTACAAGCCAAAATTACAATAGTAACCACAATAATACAGTTTTTACATTTGTTATGTACTAGCCTTTGGGAACATTATATTTTCATATAACTTCTAGTTACTAGTTTGTCGTTTCATTTCAAAGTGAAGGACTTGCAGTAGCATTTCACGTATGGCAGATGTTGTGGTAATAAATTCCGTCATTTATTTGCCTGAAAATTTGGGAATGCTCTAATTTCTCCCCCGTTTTTGAGCCAGGAATCCCCCTCCATACCTGGCTTGCGTGAGAAACAGAAAACCACCTCTGATGTGGGAAAGAGTGAGTGTGGGAATTAGGAACTCAGACTCACTCCCACCATGGACTAAGAGCCTCCCTCTTCCCCCCTCCCACTCCCCAGACCTCACAAGACTTTAGTCCCACATAGAAAACAACCTGGACATGGCAAAGCTGTGTGCTGCCTGTGTCCAAGTGCCAGACCCACAGTGGCTTGGACGTTATGGACTACAAACTCCAGGGGAAGGAGGAGTGTCCTTACAGATGAGGATGAATCAGCTAAAAAACACCAGCAATCTACAAAGGCTTTGTTACCCACAAAAGTACCTCCCAGATCCCAAGCAATGGAACCTATCCAGAATAATCTGTCACTGATGACAGACATAGAATTCAGACTATGGATGGCAAAGATAGACAAGAAAAGCCGCGAGAAGATGGAAGTACAGATCATCCAGGCAATGTAAACACTGGGACATTTTCTAGCTATGAACACCTATGACCAAACCAACCTGAGAATGTGTTTCTCTGCAGGTAATGCTCAGCAGGCAGTTCCCAGACCAGGAAAGAACCCTGGCCCTGCTGCCTTCACTTGACTCAAGGACGGGTTCCATCACTGCAGGCAGTTCCCATTTGAGAGACTCTGTAGTGAGAGACTGTGTTGCTGAAAGAACTTCTGACTTCTGAATGTTGTCAGTCTCTAGCAACGAAGGAAAATCAGGAGGATGCCTATCATTCTGGTAACCCCTCTCTCCCCACAGGAATGCTTGTATGCAACTCATGTCTCTGCCATTTCTGCAGTACCAAAGCCCATAGCTCATCCCAATTCCCAGCTGAGCATCACAGCTGGGGATCAGGAACACAGACCAGCCAGTTCCAACCCACAGGAAAAACCCTGCTGCAGAAACAAACTTTGAGTTCTGAGTGCAGGCAGCTTCAAACAAGAAAACGGGAGCCAAGGGTTGGGGGACCCTGTTGCCCAGGCAAGCCCTCTCTCCATATATAAACTCTTTTCTTTTGTACAAAGAAAAGGCTCAGCCATTCCTGCACATGACCAAAGTGGCCAGGGGACCCGTTTTCCATTGGGGCAGCCAATCATGCCCACAGAGTATGAGCTGGAGAGTGGTTCAATCTGACCTAGCCCTCTCCGAGCAGCTTTACCACCCACCCTCCTTGAAAGCCCAGGGACTGAGGATCTTTGAAAGTTTCCATAGACCCTCCATCACCTAGGTCATCTGAACACTTTCCTGGGAAAACAAAGGCCAAGCAAAAAAGCCTACAGGCATCATCACAACTGGTTGTCTCATCCAAGAGCCACCTCCTGGCTGGAAATCAAATGATACAGCTCACTGTAACATCTGAGACAATAGTATAGCACAGATATAAGGAGATACTAACAAAACCCATGCTACCTTACATCTCACAGACTAACCCATGGATCTAGGCATCAGAAAGCTTCTCCAGAGGGTCCTCTAGATATGTAAATGACCAACTGCCCTTAGAATTCAACCCCTGTGCCTTCACATTATGGGATACTTAGTAGGGACTCTCCAGCACTAGCCAAATGGTGACAACGTCCTAGTGGAGGAAGGGCAGCAGGACACTCAGTGGTTAGGCCCTTATGGACTACCAACTCCAGGGCAAGGAGGAGTGTACCACTACAGGGATGTTCTCACAGATGAGGATGAATCAGTGGAAAAAAAAAAAAAAACACCAGCAATCCACAAAGGCTTAGTGCATTGTCACCCCACAAAAGTACCTCCAAGATTCCAAGCAATGGAACCTGTGCAGAATAATCTGTCACTGATGACAGACATAGAATTCAGACTATGGAAAGATAGTCAAGGAAAGTCATGAGTAGATGGAAGTACAGATAACCTGGCAGGAAATAAAAGCTGAGCTGGCCAATATAAGAAAGGTCCAATCTGAACTCCTAAAAATTGATAATTATTTCCTGGAATTTCAAAGCACAATGACAAGTCTGAAACCTGAATGGCAGAATTAGTCTGATAGAGGAAAGAATCTTAGAACTTGAGGATTGAACTATTGAACTAACCCAGTTCAACAAAAAAAAGAGAAAAGCCTCAAAAAAGAATGAGCAATGTCTATGAGAGGTTTGAAATTATGTAAAAAGACCAAATAGATAGCTGATTGGCATCCCTGAGGTAGAAGGGGAAACTGAGAACACCCTGGAACAGGCCTTCTAATAGGTCATCCAAGAAAATTGCCCATCTTGCTAGGGAGGCAGCCATGCAGGTGCAAGAGAGCCAGAGAATACTTGCAAGGTACTACATTAAAAAACTATCCACAAGACACAGAATAATCTGTCTTTGCAAGGTGAACATGAAAGAAAAAAATCCTAAAGGCAGCTATAGACAAGAGAAAGACCTCCTACCTTGGAAGACCCATTAGAATTGCAGCAGACTTCTCTGCAGAAACCCTATAAGCCAGAAGGGATTGGAGTCACATCTTTAACTTAAAGATAAACATTCCAGTCGAGAATTTCCTACCCTGCCAAGCTAAGCTTCATTAAATGGGAAATGAACATTCTTCTCAGACATCTAATCCCTAAAAGAATATATCACCTCTAAACCAGCCTTTCGGGAGATGCTTAAGAAAGCTCTAAACACAGAAAGGAAAGAACACTTCTACCCATCAAGGCAAGTACAGAGTTAATAGACCATATAGATCAACCACAAAACCTAAAAAGCAAAGCAATCTTTTAATAGCAATATGACAGGAAGAAAACCCCACATATAAATAAATAACTTCAACATAAATTGACTGAATGTGCCACTCAAAAGGCATAGGGTGGCAAATTGGATAAAGAAACATGATCCATCCTTCTGCTGCCCTCATGAAACTCATTTCACTGCAAATGACATCCATAGGTTCAAGGTAAAGGGCTGGAGAAAGATCTTCCAGGCATATGGAAAACAAAATCAGCAATAACAGCTACTCTTATATTTAAAATAAACAGACTTTAAGCCAATACAAGTTTTAAAAGACACTGAAGGACACTACATAATATAAAAGGCCCAATCCATGAACAAAATATCCATATTTAATGTATACACATCCGGCATAGGAGCACCCAGATTTATAAAACATTTCTAATTAAACTAGAAGAGGACATAAACAGCCATACAGTTGCAGTCAGAATCTTTAATATCCCACTAACAGCCTTAGACAGATCATCAAGGCAAAACAACAACAGAAACTACCATGAAAATCAGGAACACTAACTCAACAAATTAGACCTAACAGACACCTACAGAACACTTCAACAACCACAGAACACTTCAACAACCACAAAATACAGATTCTTCCCATCAGCACATGGAATACTCCAAGATCAGCCACATACCTGCTTACATCAAGTGTGAACAAATTTTAAAAGGTCAGAATAATACCAAGCATCTTTTTAGATGACACTGGAATAAAAATTGATATTATTACCAGCAGGATCCCCCCCCCAAAATACAAAAACACATGGAAATTGAACAAT